CAGCTGTCCCCTCCTTTTTTTTAATGTGTATGTTTTGTTTTGTTTTTTAATTTTTTTCATTTAAAACCTCATTTTATACTTTGCAGCCAGGACAGATTTTGGTGACGACCTGACAGGGTTGCTCAGGGATTAGTGCTCGGAAAGTGTAGACCCACTCGCTCAGGGCCGGCGGGCCGAACTGGAGATCTGCGTGCCGTGTTGGCACGGAGCAGGGCCCAGCGGTGGCAGGGCCACATCAATGATTGCTTGATTTTTGTTCCACTTGTACTTGATGTGGGTCCTCAGGCCAGTAGCTTCACCCCTCTGAGCAGGGACTGTCCTCCCCGCTCCTGGGGACCTGGCCATAGGGCTTCCAGCGCAGCGCCTAGCATGTCAGAAGGCTGCTTGTTCTGTTTGCCACTGTGGCTTGCTTTCTGCACACCCATCGTGTGGTGGGTCTCTGGGGGTGCCGCCTGCTCCCGTCGGGCGGGGAAGCAGAGCGCCCGGGCACTCAGCACTGGGGCCAGTCTGGTCTGAGTTCTGATCCCGCCTCTGCTGTCTGCCGGCTGTGGGCCTTTTTCCTGCCTGGGCCTCGGTTCTGCTCTCCTGCTAAATGGGGACGGAACAGTTGTCCCTCCCTGCGTGCTTGGGCGGGTTCACTGACCTCAGGGCCAGGCAAGTAGAAGTACAGCTCTCGGGGTTCCGTGTCCCAGACACACTGCCGAAGGCCAACAAAGCACCTAGCGTGCGCATCCCAGCCTGAGACCACCTGAACCCACAGGAAACGACCAGACCTCCTGGCCCTTCTGCACGTGTGCCCTGCGGGCCTCCCGGGCCTGGCCCTGCCCCGCCTCTTCCCTCTGAGCCCAGCGCTCTGCTTCCCGAGCACGGACGGCGGCGGTACCTGCCCTTGCGTTTGCTGTGCCCTCTGCCCTTGGACTGGGATGTTGGAAGCACCTGCCCTGGGCAGGCAGCCCAGCCCGCCCTCAAGTTCAGGGTTCTTGCTCAGGCCTTTCCCTGGGTTGCCTCCCTTTCCCCTGCAGGGAGCGGGAACGCAGAGAGAAGGAGAGAGAAGAATGGGAACGCCAGTACAGCCGGCAGAGCCGCTCGCCCTCCCCCCGTTACAGTGAGTGTCCCCCAACTGTCCCCACCGCCTCGGCCCTGAGCCCACCCTGGACCCCTGTCCCTGGGCATTTGCTGTGTTCTCTTTTCTTTCCAGGTCGAGAATACAGCTCTTCCCGAAGGTAAGCGAGCCAGCCCCGCTCCCCAGAACGTCACGTGGTCGCCGCCTTGATCCTTCCATCCCCTCCCTATACCGCGCCCCCCACGTGTAGAGTCCGCCTGGGCCCATAGCATCCCTCCCTCCGCAGCTCACTCTTGTCACTGGCGCCCCAGCCGTCACAGGCGCATGTGTGTGCACAGCGTGGCTGCTTCCACCCAGCCTCACAAGGACCCTCTTTTCTCTCTCCAGGCGCTCAAGGTCGCGATCTCGAAGTCCCCATTACCGACATTAGGCAGAGTGGGGAGGGGCAGGGGGCTGGGGGGGCGGTGAGGGCTCAGGCTGTGATGCTGCTGGTTTTATCTCTAATGAAATAAAATCACTCGCTATTTAATTCCCTTTACCTGGCCTCGGTGTCATCTGTGTGGTCAGTGTCCAGCTACCAGGGACGGCTGGGAGGAAGCCGGCTGGGTCCAGGGACAGGAGCCAACACCCGGAGCCCACGTGGCAAGTCCTGCCCTGCCCGGGTGCCTCGGGGGAGCGCTCCTGCCGCGGGCCCGTGGGGGCAGGGGCACGATCGGTGGGGACCCGTGGGGAGGGGCCTGGGACCGGGCCTGTGGAGGACACGCCAGGACTTTGCCCGGGGGCCTCTGGTGACAGGTCCGGGCCTCTCCCCGCCCTCGCCTCGGCCCCTGCCCTGGCCTCGCCCACACCGGGAACCGGGAGCGCGGCTTTCCGTGCCAGTCTTGCTGTGCCCGGGGCGCTGGGGGCCGGCCTTTCCCCTCACCCCCTCACTGCAAACCGGTCTGTCCAGCCGTCCACCCCAAGCAGGGAAGCCTCCCGCCCCACCTCAGACACCCCAAGAAAGCCAGAGTCCAGACGCGTGTGTTCCGGGCGGGAGGGTTTACTCGCAGCAGAGCAAGGACAAGGTCGGCGGGAGCAGTAACGGTGGTACCAGGGGCCGCGGCAAGGGCGTTCCCTCCCGCGCCTCAGGCGTCCCCGGCCACCTCGGGGTGCTTCTGCCGCAGGTGTTTGTCCAGGGTGGCTCGCAGGCCGAAGGGCACACAGCAGTGGGGACACTCGAAGCGGGTGCTGCCGGGCCCCAGGCCGTGCATGCGGCGGTGGCGGTTGAGCTTGCTGCTCTGGGCACAGGCATAGGGGCAGAGCTCACACGTGTAGGGCCGCTCGCCCGTGTGCGAGCGCCGGTGCACCGTCAGGTTGCTGCTGTTGGTGAAGTGCTTCCCGCAGAACTCGCAGCTGCCGCCGGGCCCGCGGCTCTTGACCGCCGGCTTCGGCATCTTCTTCGGGGACATCTGATTCTTCGCAGGTTCAGTTCTCTGTTCCTTGGTGGCGGCCTCCCAGCTGGCCCCGCCAGGGCCCACCTGCGCCCCTCCACCGGGAGCCCCGGGTTCCTGGACGCCCGCCGTGGCAGCCGCCCCAGCGCCCTCGCCACTGCTGCACGGGAGGCTGCTGGCCGGGGCCGCGGCGTGGGCCGCTGGCTCGGGAGGGGCGGCGGCCGAGGCCCGTTCAGGACCGGCAGTGGCCTTGAAGGGGCTCTGAGGCTGCGGCTGCCGGTGGGTCTTCTTGTGGCGGTTGAGCTTGCTGCTCTGGGTGCAGGTGTAGGGACACTGGTCACAGGCGTAGGGCCGCTCGCCCGTGTGTGAGCGCATGTGCACTTTGAGATTGCTGAAGGAGCTGAGGGTCTTGGCGCACACTGGGCAGGTGGGGCTCCGCCGGGCGGGGACACTCACCCGCGGGCCCCGGGCCTCAGCTTCTGGCTCCACCACGGCCGCCACGGCAGCGGCCACCTCCGCCAGGCCCAGCAGCGGGCTCTCCGGGGCCTCGGGTTCCGTCTGGTAGATGGACAGCCCGTGGTCCCACTGGGCGTGGCGCAGCAGCTTCCAGGCCCCCGAGAACTGTCTTCCGCAGCGGAGGCAGCCCAAGGCCGTGGGCTCCCTGCGTTCTGCAACGGGAGAAGGAAGGGCCTGCTGTTAGAGAGGTGGACAGAAGCGACGGTCGCCACCCACACCTGCCAGCTGGGCACCTTCCGCGGGAAAGGCTCCATTCCAGGGGCTGAGAAGACCCCCCGCCTCCCCGAAGTTGATGCTCCGAGGCAGGCGGGCCAAACCTGCCAAGTGGATGATGAATTCCTGAGGGTTCTTTTTGTGTTTGAAAGTCCTCACAAGAAAAGTTAAAGCAGGGTGATGGGTGGGGGCGGGGAGGGCTCTTCTATACTGGGGAGTCAGGAAGGGAGAAGGGGCAAAGCCCTTTCCCCAAGCTCACAAGCCTGGAAGGGTGGAGTTGGGGTTTCAACCCAGAAACCTGGAGAGTGGGAGATGAATTTAAAAAAAAAAAAAAAAAAAGTTGGCTTAATACAGCTTTTGATTACCGAGCGGGTTTCTGTGCCGGGCCCCAAGTTCATGGGTTCCATGCAAGGTCTCCTATTCCCTGTCTTACAGAAGAGGGGACGGGGGGTGGGGGGGGTGTGCAGATGCAGCCACCTAGAGGCTGGGGGGGTGAGTTAGGTCCCCCTCCCTCTGCGTGGACCCCGAATTAAGAGCCCTCTAAATTGGCTGTTTTCTCTAGACCCTCTGAGTACTATCAGTAAAGTACTTTACTTTTCAAGTTCTCGACAGTCTCGGATGGGGTGGCTTTCCTAACGCAATGCCAGGGTCAGGAGCACAGATGGGGGCTGGAAGCGTCAGCCTGGCCCGACTCCCACCTAGTTCTTAGGCTCCCTAGCCGTGTGACCTTGGCCAAGAACCGCTCCTCTCGGGCTCTCAGCTCTCATTTGTTAGAACACGGAGACTAACCTTTTAGGGGTGTTGTGACGTTGAATGGAGAAGAACTGAGAGTCTCGGCCCATGTAAACCCTCAGTAAACATGAACTACACCCACGTGGCTGGGGTGCCCACACTCCACCGAGTCCAAGCGCCTGGGAGTGTTCCAGGGACTCCATCAGAGCCCGTCCCTGGGCCACCAGGCCACCCCGCCAGCTACGACCCTACAGCTGATTCTACAGCTGATTCAGTCACAGCCCCTGCCTCCCCCTCCCCCACGGGTGAACACCCCCCGACCCCCCGCGCCCAGGCCTGAATAGAATTCTATTTCTCAAAAAAACCTAGGAGCGCAAGGGCCAGGGGATGGAAATGTGTAGGTTTAGAGGAGCCCCACAGCCTGTGACGACCAAAAGCTTCCTGGGACTCTACAACCACGTTAAGGCTTTCATTCCCTTTGAAGAGAAGGAACCCAGGTGTCCAGCCACCCAGGACCTGGCCCAAACCAGGGGCTTCCCAGCGGGCAGGGCTGGGAGATTCCATCAGAGAGGGAAGCCAGAAGCCCCTTCCTGGGCTCCGGGCAAATGCCCCAGCACCTCAACCAGCAGGAGTAATAAAGAGGTGGGAGGGGGTGGCCACACGGCGCTTGGAGCTGGTCTCAGCCTCCCCTCCCCCAGGCGGCTGCCCTCCCCAGAGGTCCCTCTACTGCCACACTGGTCCAGCCACCTGGCCAGTTATTTCTGGCCAAGGGGAAGGAGAAGTGAAACCAGATTGGGGGGGTGTGTGTGGCAAATCCCCAGACCAGTCTTCAGGGGCTTGCCACACCCTATGGGCGGCCCTCCTTCATGCCCAGCCCCTGCCCGCGCCCCCCCCCCACCCTCTCCCACCCCCGCCACTAGTCCCGGCCCTAGGACAGGGCAGGCCCTGGCCACGCCTAGGCTGCACCCGATGGGGAGCGAGAAAGGGGAAGTAGTGCTCACTGCCCCGCCTGTCCAGTTCAGCCCTTTCTCCCACAGGAAGCCAGGCCCTTGAACTTGAGAGGGGGACTGCATCCCGGCTTGACTCACCTGAGCCCTGGCCGGGGCTGCGGCCTCTGAAAAGCTGACAGTCCAGCTTTTTGTGGTCCATGAAAGCAGTGATGGCCTCCAAGGGAAAAGTCTGCAGGCAGCGGCCGCAGGTCAACAGATCTGGGTGTTTGTCGGTCCAGGGCTGGCGGTCTGCTGGGAGGAAGCGGGTGGTGAGCGTCGGGTGGGGCCCGGATGGGGGCTGGGGGTTCTGAGGGAGAGGGAAACCCCGAAGGTCAGAATGGGGGCTGGAGGCCAGGACCAGGCAAGGGAAATAAGGCAGGGCCGGGGGTCGGTGCCCGGTGCCCAGAGGGCGTCCCACCCGAGAGGGGGGGGGAAGGGAGGCGGGGCAGGGGCAGGGGGCGCTCACCGCGAGGGCTGAGAATCAGCGGCGTCCACAGCGCCCACTGGTGCCGCGCGCCGAGAGCGTGGAGAGGGCTCCCGACGTGCACGGGGCCCGGGGAATGGCGGGGTTCGCCCTCGAACCGCGCCGCCGTGGGCACTTCCTTCGGGGAGAAGGGCCCCAGCCCCGGGGCCTGTAGGGGCCGCACGTCTGGCTCCGGCTTCATTTCGATGACGAGGTCCGGCATCTCCATCTCGTCGTCTGTGTTGGCGGCGGGCTCGGGGTCTACTCTGCGGGGCATGCAGCCGGCCTTGCGGCGGGACATGAGTCGCGGGCCAGGCGGGCTGGCGAGCGGGCGGGCGGGCGAGCGGAGGACGCGCGGGCGGTGCGCGCTCAGACCCAGGCGCTCAGGTGAGTGACTGCGGCGACCCGCTGCGAACTCTTACACGTGCTGGCCCGGCCCGTGGCTCCACCCACTGGGGCGGGACCTGGCGGGCGAGGACGGGGCGGCCCCGCAGGGGCCTGGGCGGCCGCCAAGCTCGATCAAAGCCGAGCCCACTGCCTTTTCTTAGCGACCGAACCTTAATGCCGCCGGGGTCACACACGACCGTGCGCACAACGCCTGTTCCTGATTCCTTTTTAGGGCCGGTGGAACTGAGGCACAGGGTGCCTACACGCACCCCAGGGAGAGAACACGGCGGGGGCCACGTTTCTTACTTCAGCCTGAGAATAATTCAGTCTATTCTTTTAAATGCATTACAATAAAAATTCAGGAGGCCAACATTTATTGAGCACTTACTGTGCACTAGGTTCTAAGTACTGAGGATATGGCGGCGAACAGGATAGACAATAATCTCTATCTTCATTCAGTGTATTTATTCGGGGGGGGGGGGCAGAGACAGACTCTCAACAAGATAATTGTAAAGCATAGAGTGACTTCCAGGATGGCAAATGCAATGGGGCAAAATAAAACTAGGAAGGGCTATAAAGGGTCAGGGTTACAGGGGCGGGGGTGGGGCGGGGGGAGCCTTGATTGGTTTTCTACCCGGGAAGAGCAGGGTGCACTTAAGATCTGAAGGAGGGGAGGGAGGGGGGCAGCCAGCCTGTATGTTCCAGAATAACAAGGGGGCAGGGCGTGGCAAGAGGCGCCGGTGACTGAGTTCTGTGAGAAAAATGGCCTCAGATCCAAGGGGGTCTTTTGTCCACTCAAGGGCTTTGGATTCCTGAGACCAGAGCCTGGGGGGTCGGGGGGCGCTGGTTAGGACAAAGAAGGTCATGGTCATATACATCTTCTCTGCTCCTAAACCTGGAATCACTATTAAAACGAAAGAGGCAACTGTCTTCACCTCCCTCCACTCGGGCCTCCTTGAACTTGCCTCCGCAAAGCACCTCACTCCGATCACTGTTTGAAGTGGCATCAACAACCCGCCCCTCCCTCCAACCCGTACAAGTTTCCTTTTCTTCCTGGCACCGGCCACATCATAACATAGACTTATCTGTTGACTGTCCTCTCTTCCCTCCCCACCCCTACCCAACAAAAGCTTGCTGAGGTCAGGGCCAGGGTCTGTCCATGGGCCCCAGCCCTGCTTGGGTTAGTGAATGACAAATGCTAATGTCCCAGGAGTACTGCTTCAGGCCAGAGGGTTCCTCGTATTGTTATTCAGGTCTGAGCTCCTGATTGTCCTCCAGGGAGCAGAGGGCCTCCCTGACCACTGGATCTAAAGTAGCCCCGCCCTGCTGAAGGTCTTACAACCTGACCTCCATTTGTCTTCCTTTCCTGGGCCTCAGTTTCCCCATTTGTTACCTAAGGGGGCTTCTTCGCTTGCCCCCTCCTTTGACCACGCAACTAAAGAAGGTCTCCCTCTGCCACCTGTTATCCCCTTATCCTTATTTTATTTTCTTTTGTATCACTCATCACAAGCTGCGCAGGACCTTGGATTTGCTGATTTGCTGGATCTTGTATTTGTTGATGTATTTGCTCATGGATGTACCCTCTTGGGCCCCTCCCAGCCCTCCCAGAATGTAGGTTCGAGAGGGCATGACTCAAGTCAGGCTCGTTCACATTACCGAGCACATTTTTTCTTCTTTCTTTTTCTTCCTTTCCTTCCCTTCCCTTCCCTTCGCTTTCCTTTCCTTTCCTTTGCTTCGTTTTGCTTTGCTTTTCTTTGCTTTCCATTCTTTCCTTCCTTCCTCTCTTTTGAGAGAGAAAAAGCCACAAGCTGGGGAGGAGCAGAAAGAAGGAGAGACAAAATCTCAAGCAGGTTCACACCATGAACGCAGAGCCGGATGCCAGGCTGGAACTCACAAAACATGACATCGGGACCGAGACGGGCTCAAGAGTCGGAATTACTGTGCCGCACAGGCGCCCCGAGCACATTCTTTCAATAGACATCACAGAGGGCCTGTGTGCCAGGCATTTGGCTTTGGGTACCTGGTAGGAAGCAGAGGCTCCTGAGGCCCCCCGCTGGCTGAGAAAGTGTGGAAGAAGTGAATTGCACCTGAGCCCAGAGCAGTGAGGCTCCATAGCACCTAAGGCCAGACAGTCCATCTTTCAGGGCCTCAGTTTCCTCCTTTGTAAAATGGGGCTGTAGGGAGAACTGCTAGACAGGAGCCCCACCTCGGGTCCTGCTGCTGCTCTCTTCCAAGAAGCCTCTTCCCTGCTCTGTGGCTGCTCGAAGTTTCAAGGAGAGGAGCTGCGGTTTGGATTGCAGGTGAAGAGCAGGAGTGTGCGGGGGTGGGGGGGAGGGGGGCGGTGCAAAGACCAAGCTCGGTCCTCAACTCAGCCCGGAGGAAGTCCCCCCTCTCGGAACCCCAGTGTCTTCTTCCCTAAAGCGGGCATCCCGGACGCCACCCCCCCCAACCCCCTCCCAGGCAGGCGGATCAGATGGAAGCGATGGGCCAGGCCGCGGGGCGGCGTGCTGCGTGGGGCAGTGCCGGTCTCGGAGCCCGAGGGCCCGCGCGACACCACGTGGGGCGGCGGCAGCGCGGGCGGAACCCAGGCTGGGCGGCTCGCGGCCCGCCCGGGCCTCTGCGGCGGGGGCGCCGGCGGAAGTGGGGGCGCCAGCCGCCGCGGACCTCGGTGAGTGCTGGGTGTCGGTGGTGGGGCGCGAGCACGTTTCGTTCCCTGTCCCCGGGCCCGAACGCCCGCCCGCGTGCGCGCGCGCCGCCGGGAGTGGCGCGAAGGGGCAGGTCGGCGCCTGCAACGCCGGCCGTGGGGCACGTTGTGGTCCCCGAACGCCCGCGTCGGGACTCCGGTCCGCAACGCCGCAGCGGGGACGTGCCGGCGCCGGGGTTGGGGTGAGGAGCCGCGGCAGCTCGGAATGCTCTCTCTCCCTCGGGGCGGGGCCGGGGGGGTTGCGAATAACAACGACGACGAGGATAACAGTAACAACGGCAGCGGCAGCAGTTCGGACTCCCCGCCTCGGTGGGACGGAGTCGCCTGCCTGATCTGCGCCGGGAGGACACCCAGCCCGGGCCGAGTGCGGAATGGACGCCTGGGGGCCGGGAGGACCTACTTAGTATAAGAAAAGGCTAGCTGTGGGTGGCCAGGGCGGAATTGAAAGGAAACTGACCAGCCCTGGGGCCGGAGGGGAGGGGAAGGATTCCGTGCTTGAGGTTCTCACCCCGTCGGGAGGCTCCATTTTAACTCATTTGCATCCCTCAGGGCCACCCCTGGGGTGTGTGTGGACGTGTCCGCACCGTGGCTCATTAGCGAAGGTCTGGGGTCTTCACTTGGACTAGTTCCTGGAAGTAACTCGGCTAGTTCCTTACCCCGGCTGCTGACGGGTTAACTGTTTGTCCATCGAACTGATTGATTCCCATTTTCTTGGAAGTCAGCACGGAAGCCCCAAGAAGGGAGGCCTGTGACTCTCCTGCCCTTGTCCATGACCTCAGTGATGGGGTCTGGAGTCCTAACTATGCAAGTGGTGGCGGAGGGGGGGGGGGGTGTTGGACATTTTCTTGAAATCTTTAGACAGGAAATTCTTGGCTTAGAGGATAAAGGATTCTGGGGCCTGACCACCAGGGAGAGGGGATAATGTGTGCTTGGACACGCCCTACCTGACCTTTCTTAAACCAGTTTCTTATCAGGTCACACCTTGCTTCCAAAAGCTCTGATGGCTCTCCTGTGCTGACCCTGCCCGGTGGAGAGCAGGGGTGATGGCCCCGGGGGTCTGTTGTCCAACCCGGGACGACCTGGGCTCCTTCCCTTTTCCTGCCACTCACCAGCTTGCACCCAGTAAACGCTTTGGGAGATCCCAGTGCCTGGTTTCCTCTTCAGGAAAGCGAGGACTGCATGGTATGGCCCAGTCTCCACTTGTTTTCCCTTAGTGGAGAAAACAGATCTGCGCACCAATCCACCCTTTTGTTTGATCTAGAGATTTCATATAACTTGTGGCCATTTGCTTAATTCCCATTAGTCCTGTAGAACGTCCCAGCCGGACAGACTAGGGTGTATCTCTCAAATCTTTCAAGCAAGTGTTCTTCTAGGTTGGCTGAAAGCCCTGGGGGCTGATGACCCTTGGCTAAGCTTGGAGTGCAAGGGCAGTGGTCAGATAAATTAGAAAGTGTGTGTATCCCTTAATCCCGTCAACCGCGGTCAAATAAAGGAAATGTACACCTGAAACTAACATAATAGTGTGTGTCAACTAACAAATCAAAAACCTGGGGTCCCTGGGTGGCTCAGCTGGTTGAACGCCCTGACTGTGGCCTCATGTCATGATCTCACCGATCGTGGGTTCGAGCGCCACATCGCTCTTTGAATTCTCTCTCTTTCTCTACCCCTTCCCCATTTGCGCGCACACTCTCTCTCTCAAAAATAAACATTAAACAGGGGCGCCTGGGTGGTTTAGTCGGTTAAGCGTCCGGCTTTCGCTTAGGTCATGATCTCGCGGTTTGTGGGTTCGAGCCCCGCGTCGGGCTCTGTGCTGACTGCCAGCTCAGAGCCTGGAGCCTGTTTCACAGTCTGTGTCTCTCTCTCTCTCTGACCCTCCCCTGTTCACGCTGTCTCTCTCTCCTAGAAATAAACAAAAATATTAAAAAAATAAATAAATAAACATTAAACAATAAATAAAAACGTAAAAAAGAAGAAGAAAGTGTATATATCCCATAAATCCCATTTGCTGTTTTCTCCGTCCGGCAGAAACCAGAAACGTGGAGTCTGCCTGCTTTCTGCTTTTTCCCTCAGTCCATCAACAGATGGTGAGGGCTCTCAACCTTCAACACAAGCCCTCATCTGACCCTTGTCCCCCACTCCCACAACCCCCACCCTGTCCCAGGCACCCTCATCCTCTGCCCCTCCTGGCCCATCGAGGGGGCTTCCTCCCCTTGTCCCTCACAGTACACGCCCCTGCACAGCAGGCAGAGAGATCATGTGAAAATTGAAGCCAGGTCCTGCCCCTCCCCTGCCCAGAACCACCCCAAGGCTCTTGTCTCCTCAGAGTAGCCAGCCAGGCGGTCTCACCTTAGTCTTCAAGGCCCCTCCTTGCGCAATCTGGCCCTGTTCCCACCTCCTCCACGCTGGCCTCCTTGCTTTGCCTCAAAGTCATCCTTCCGCTGGCTTTGTATTTGCTGTTCCCCCTGACGGGAATGCTGTGTTCCGCAGCCCCCCCCCCCCCAATCTCTATATGGCTCAGTTCCTTATTTCATTTCGGACTGCTCAAATACAACACCCATCCTGGCCAGCTATCTCTTGCTCCCCGGCTGGGCCAGGCAGCCCCTCTGGACTCCTGAGGCCCCCGCCTCCTTCCCTCCAGCCCTGGTCTGTGTCACCCGCTGGACTGTGAGACAGGACCTCATCGCCCTGTCCCTGGCACCACCCCACGTGGGCCGGGCCCCCGAGCATGCACTTGGATAATGTGCATGGGTGAGGCTTTTCATTCCCTTCAACAAACATTTACCGAGCTCCCCCTGTTTGCCAGGCCCTGGGTGGGGCTGGGGGGGGGGTGGTGTGACATATTGGACGGGTCCTTTCTCGCAACAAGTCTCACGTTCTGTGGCAGACAGACGGCACAAAAGTTTCAGTAAGTGCATATTGTCAGGGGGTGTAGCGCCCGTGCAGAAGAGGTCATTCAGGCCGCAGGGGCTGCTGTTTTCCTCCCTGTAGACGTGGTGCTTGAGCAAGCGACCCGAGTCAAGTGCACGAGGAAGGTGAGCCATGTCTCTGGAAACGCAGAAGTCCCGCATCTGGAAGAGGGTTCCCGGCTCTAAGAACAGCACGGGCCCTGGCGCAGGAATGTGCCTGATACGTTCAGGGACTCACAGCAGTGAGCGAGGGAGGGAAGGGGCGTGGGGTCAGAGACAGGGTGGGGCCTTGCAGCCATCATGAGGACTTGGGCTTGTTGCTCTTGCGGACATGGGAGCCACGGGAGGGCTCTGAGCCCAGGAGGGGTGCGGTCGGACTTCTTTCTAACAGGATCCCTCTGGGGCGCCTGGGTGGCTTAGTCGGTTAAGCATCCGACTTTCGCTTAGGTCATGATCTCACAGTTCGTGGGTTCGAGCCCCGCGTCAGGCTCTGTGCTGACTGCCAGCTCAGAGCCTGAAGCCTGTTTCAGTCTGTGACTCCCTCTCTCTCTGACCCTCCCCTGCTCACGCTGTCTCTCTCTCTCTCTCTCTCTCTCTCCTAGAAATAAAATAAAAATTAAGAAAAAACAAAACAAAACAGGATCCCTCTGACAGCTGGGTCTGGGTAGGGATCAGACTGTAGGAAGCTGTAGCCCAGAGGGAAGGTGATGGCGGCTGGACCAAGGAGGAGGTGGTGTGGGGGCGGGGGCGGGAGTGGAGGTGAAAGGTTGCTGGATTCTGGATACCTTTTCAGGAGGTGGAGCTGACAGTCTTTACCGATGGATTAAATGTGAGTAGCCGAGAAAGCGAGGAAGGGTCCAATGTGCTGTGGGATGGCCTTTGTGTGACCACCAATTGGCGCCTGAAAGGGTCTTCTTCCAGCCGCCCTAGGAAGTCTAAGTCTTTTTTTTTTTTTTCTTTTTTTGCTTCATTTTACAGATGAGGAAACGGAACAGGGAGGGTGCTTGCCGAGCTGCTGTGACCTGTCCAGATCCCTCGTAGTGAATCTGGGAGGGATACGAACCACCCTTCTCCCCGAATCCACACCTCCTTCCTCTGCGCAGTGGGGTAAGCTTATGGCCTGCCAGCCAAGAGTGCGTATTATATTTTTCCCTCTAAGCTTTTTATATTGCTTATTTTGAGAGAGAGAGAGAGAGAGCAGGAGCAGGGGTGGGGCAGAGAGAGAGGGAGAGGGAATCCCAAGCAGGCTCTCTGCCCCGATGCGCCGCTTGAACTTGAGAACTGTGAGATCACGACCTGAGTTGACATCAAGAGTTGGGACAAAGGGCCCCTGTCTGGCTCAGTTGGTTAAGCATCTGACTTCGGCTCAGGTCATGATCTTTTTTTTTTTATAATTATTTTTTTTAATGTTTTTTTTTTTTAATTTATTTCTAGGAGAGAGAGAGACAGCGTGAGCCGGGGAGGGTCAGAGAGAGAGGGAGTCACAGACTCTGAAACAGGCTCGAGGCTCTGAGCTGGCAGTCAGCACAGAGCCCGACGCGGAGCTCGAACCCACGAACCGCGAGATCATGACCTAAGCGAAAGTCGGATGCTCAACCGACTAAGCCACCCAGGTGCCCCTGGCTCAGGTCATGATCTTACAGCTCATGGGTTCGAGCCCCGCGTCGGGGTCTGTGCTGAAAACTTAGAGCCTAGAGCCTGCTTCGGATTCTGTGTCTCCCCCTCTCCCTGACCCTCCCCAACTCATGCTCTGTTTTTCTCTGTCTCAATAATAAAGAAAACATAAAAAAAAAAAAAAAAGAGTCAGGACGATGAACCAACTGAGCCACGCAAGTGCCGAGCTTTACATTTTTAAGGGCTCAGAAGACTTTAAGAAATTGTTGTGGTGCATGAAATGTTATAACATTGAAATTTCAGTGTCCCAAAAAGTAAGGTTTTTTTTTTGTTGTTGTTGTTGTTTTGTTTTTTTATGTCTTTATTTTATTTTGAGAGACAGAGTCAGAGACTGAGCAGGGAAGGGGCAGAAAGAGAGGGAGACACAGAATCCAAAGCAGGCTCCAGGCTCTGAGCTGTCAGCACAGAGCCCGATGCGGGGCTCGAACCCACAGACTATGAGATCATGACCTGAGCCGAAGTCGGACGCTTAACTGACTGATCCACCCAGGCGCCCCCCAAGAAGTAAGGTTTTAAGAACAGGCGTGTTTATTCTTTTCGTATCTGTCTGTGGCTGCGTTCTTTCTTTTTTTTTAAAAAAAATCTTATTATTATTATTATTACTTTTAAAAATTTATTTCTGAGAGAGAGAGAGAGAGAGAGAGAGGCAGCGTGAATAGGGAAGGGTCAGAGAGAGAGGGAGACCCAGAATCTGAAACAGGCTCCAGGTTCTGAGCTGTCAGCACAGAACCCGACGCGGGGCTCGAATCCACGAACCATGAGATCATGACCTGAGCCGAAGTCAGACGCTTAACTGAGCCACCCAGGAGGCCCTGGGCTGCTTTCTTGAGTCGTTGTGACGGACCCTGTGGCCCCCCAGAGCCTGAAATACGGGAGGGCCGTTTACAGAGAAAATTTGCCAACTTGGTGCTAATAATGATTCAATTTGGGTCACCAGTGGGGGTATCTGATCTGTAGGACTTCACAGCCAGTCCCTGGGGAAGGTCTGGACTGGGACAGAAAGTTTGAGGACTAGGGAAGGATGGGAGAGGAAATTCAGATTCCTGAGGGGGGAGATCTAACATTTCCATTTTCATTTAATTTAATTTTATTGTAAGTAGGCCCCGTACACAGCCTTGAGATCGAGTCCCGTGTTCTGGCAACTGAGCCAGCCGGAGTCCCAGGGAATCGAACATCTTTTCAAGGACATGGAAACATTATAATATTGGCCCTTCGTTTTTGAAATTAGAATTTAAAAACTACTGGCATGCCCGGGTGGCTCAGTCAGTTAAATGTCCAACTCTTAATCTCAGCTCAGGTCATGATTTCAGGGTCGTGGGTTCGAGCCCCATGTTGGGCATGGAACTCACGACCGTGAGATCAAGTCACATGCTCTATGGACTGAAGCAGCCCCTAAAGCCTTTTTATTTTCATTTTATTTCATTTCATTTATTTATTTATTTATTTATTTTTAATGTTTTATTTATTTCTGAGAGAGAGAGAGACAGCATGAGCAGGGGACGGTCAGAGAGAGAGGGAGATACAGAGTCTGAAACAGGCTCCAGGCTCTGAGCTGTCAGCACAGAGCCTGACGTGGGGCTCGAACCCACGAGCCGTGAGACCATGACCTGAGCCGAAGTCGGACGTTTAACCGACAGAGCCACCCAGGTGCCCCTAAAGCCTTTTTAATTAATTTGTTTATGTTTATTTATTTGTTTTGAGAGAGAGAGAGAGCGTGTACGCACATCATCCTGGGGAAGGAGAGAGAATCCCAAACAAGCTCTCTGCTGTCAGAGTGCAGAGCCCGACTTGGGACTTGATCCCAAGAACCCTGAGATCGTGACCTGACGCTCGACCGACTGAGCCACTCAGGTGCCCCCCTTAAAGCCTTTTTGTTTTATTTTTATTTTTATTTTTTTTTAATTTTTAATGTTTTATTTATTTCTGAGAGAGAGAGAGACAGTGTGAGCACTGGAAGGTCAGAGAGAGAGGGAGATACAGAATCTGAAACAGGCTCCAGGCTCTGAGATCTCAGCACAGAGCCTGATGTGGGGCTTGAACCCACAAACCGTGAGATCATGACCTGAGCCGAAGCCAGACACTTAACCGACTGAGCCACCCAGGCACCCCAAAGCCTTTTTGTTTTAAAAAGTTGTCCGTATATTACAGCACTTGGCAGGCTCAGTCAGTACGGTGTACAACTCTTGACCTCAGACTTATAACTTCCAGCCTCACGCTGAGTGTAGAGATTACTTTAAAAAAAAATCTTTTTTTCAAAGTAAAAGGGGCGCCGGGTGGCTCGGTCAGTTGGGCGTCCAATTTTGGCTCGGGTCATAATCTCAAGGCGCATGGGTTTGAACCCTGCGTTGGGCTCTTTGGTGTCACACAGTGCGGAGCCCACTTGGGATGCTCTGTCCCCCTCTGTCTCTGCCCCTCCCACACGAGGGATCACGCGCGTGCTCTTTTTCTCTCTCAGAAATAAACATTTAGGGGCTCCTGGGTGGCTCAGTCAGTTAAGCATAGGACTTCGGCTCAGGTCATGATCTCACGGTTCGTGGGTTCAAGCCCCGCGTCGGGCTCTGTGCTGACAGCTCAGAGACTGGAGCCTGCTTCAGATTCTGTGTCTCCCTCTCTCTCTGACTCTCCCCTGCTCACGCTCTCTCTCTCTCTCTCTCAGAAATAAATAAAACATTTAAAAATTTTTTAAAAATATATTTAAAAAATATTTTAAAAAATAAAATCCTTTAAGAGAAGAAGGTCTATTGAGGTGTAATTCTCATACCATACGATTCATCAATAGGAGATGGTTTTGGTAATCACAGGTTGGGGTCGGGCTGGGGGAATGCTACTGGCATCTTGTGGGTAGAGGCCAGGGCTGCTGCTAAAATCCCACACCTGTGCCCTGGACAGCCCCCCTGCACCACCCCAAAGAATGACCCAGTCCCCAGTAGCATCCCTGCTGTGGTTGAGACCCCGTCCTCGGAGGTGTCCGTGCTCGCCAGGAGCCCCCGGTTGAGCTGCAGAGATAGGAGGAGCCGAAGAAGAAAAGGGATCTTCTCAATCTCCCCCTCCCGGGAGTGGCCCAGGGACGGGATACTGCGAGCCTAAATCTGTCACTTCTGTTAATCCCCTGAGTGACGACTGAGCCACAGAGAGGGCTGGGGCTCCCTGAGGCTTAGATCATTCTCCCTCTCTGTTCTCTTGCTCACAGAGCCAGTATTTTCCTGCCGGCGACCAAACATCACAGCCGTGGTGCTTAACGTGTTCCAGGCATGTGCTGAGCCCCGGCAGCTTGCTAGGCCATCCAGTCCCCGTGACAACCCTGTGAGGTGGGTCCTCTCTTCATCCCTGAAGATGGTTATTACGGATGGGAACTCCGAGGCCCAGACTGGTTAAGCAACTTAACCCCAGTCACACAGCAGTGCTAATAATAACGGTGGCTGCGAAGTTTCATAGAGAAGTTTCTGTGAACCAGGTCCTGTCCAGCCTAGAAACTGTCGCCTAAGGTTACCTTACCCAGGGTGACCAGCAGGCCCGGGAGCTCAGTCTCCCCTCCTCCATTCATTCAAGCAGGAGCAATATTTTTGTTTGTTTGTTTTTGTTTTTATAACATTTATTTATTTTTGAGAGACAGAGAGTGAGCAGGGGAGGGGCAGAGAAAGAGGGAGACCCAGAATCCGAAGCAGGCTCCAGGCTCTGAGCTGTCAGCACAGAGCCCGATGCGGGGCTCAAACTCACGAACTGCAAGATCATGACCTGAGCCGAAGTTAAGTTGCTTAACCAACTGAGCCTTCCGGGCGCCCCAAGCAGGAGGGATGAGCCCGGTCTCTGGGCCGCTGCTGCACAATGTTCTAGAAGCTGGGGATCAGCACGAGGGAGAAAGCAAGGTCACTGCCCATGGGCGTCTGGCAGGGGAGGAGAGCCGTAAGCAGAGCGGTAAATACACAATATCAGGTCAGAAGAGAACTGCATGCTACCAATGAGGCTGATGAGGGGGTGGAACTTGAAGACAGCATCCTCAGAGAAGGCAGAAAGGAGATACACACAGAGGGAACTTCAAGTGCAGGGGTCTGAGAGGGACGTCTGTGCCCAGCATGTTTGCAGCCCAGCGAGGCAGCCAGTGAGGCTGGGCTGGAGAGAGAAGCATGGCCCGCCGCGAGGGTGCTGGCAGGGTCCTGAGCATGAGCGGCCCTTGAGGGCTGCTGCGGTGAGGACATTGACTTTGACTCTGGGCGAGGCTGAAGCCTGGGGAAGGCTCTCAGCAGAGGAGGCACGTCACCTGACTCAGGTGTTAGATGGTAGGTGTTAGGTGCTAGTAAGGTCCTTCTGGCTGTGTGTGGGGACAGACTTGCAGGTGGGGGGGGCAGTGGAGGCAGAAGCCAGGGGCCCAGGGTGGCGCTGACTTCAGTAGTCCAGGAAGGAAGTGATGGTGCGCAGGGGTGTTAGGCTGCGAATACATATACGACAGTTGATCCTTGAACGATGGGGGATTTGAAAGCATTGGGCCACTTATACATGGATTTTTATTTCAATAAATACAGTCCAGTGCTGTAAATGTATTTTCTCTTCCTTATGATTTAAAAAAAATGTTTACTTATTTATTTTGAGAGAGAGAGAACATGAGCAGGGGAGGGGCAGAGAGAGAGGATCCCAAGCACGCTCCGCACTGCTGGTGCAGAGCCCCAGGCGGGGCTTGAACTCGCAAACTGTGAGATCACGCCTGAGCCAAGATCAAGAGTCAGATGTTTAGCCAACTGAGCCACCCAGGCGCCCCTCTTCCTTACCATTTTCCTAATAATGTTTTCATTTCTTTAGCCATCCCAAATACGTGTTAATCAACGGTTCATGTTACGAGTAAGGCTCCCAGTCGACAGCTTAACCGACTGGGCCACTCAGGTGCCCCAATTTTTTTGTTTTTGTTTTTCTTGTTTTTTTGTTTGAATTTAAGTAGCCTCCATGCCCAACATGGAGCTTGAACTCACAACCCTGAGATCAGGAGTCACATGCTCTCCTGACCGAGCCAGCCAGGCACCCCATGACCTTGTTATTTTTAAGGAACACAGGCTCACTTTTTTGTAGAAGCCCCTCAATTTGAGCTTCCTCGTGATTGGATTTAACTAATCCATTTTTGGTAGGAAAACCCCAGAACTGGAGCCAGTCCTCAGTGTATTACCTCTGAAGGCACGTGGGGTCTATTTGTCCCTTTACTGCACGTGATGACTTTGATGCCTACATTCAGGAGTGTCCACCAGATCCCTCCATTATAAAGTTACTGTTGGGGCGCCTGGGGGGCTCAGTCGGTTAAGCGTCAGACTTCGGCTCAGGTCACAATCTCACAGTTGGTGGGTTCGAGTCCTGCATTGGGCTCTGTGCCTGGAGCCTGTTTCGGATGCTGTGTCTCCCTCTCTCTGCCCCTCCCCCGCTCACACTCTGTCTCTCTCAGAAATAAACATTACACAAAATTTAAAAAAAAAATAAAGTTATCATTTACTCTTTACAACAAATAAGTATTTTGTGAGGAAGTACTTTATGACCATGGAGATATGCTAGACCTCATCCAACACTTGTCTGGAATCAGCGTCCCTTGGTGATTTTAGCTTATTTATTCTTTTATTTATAATTAGTATGAACCCGTGTCTATTTTATTCAGTGGGTTTATATCTGTAAGTATTTTAACATTCACATCATTCCAGAGTTGGCCACTGGGAGCCCTTTCAAGCTGGCTTCGGTGAGATTGGGAGTTTATTTGGAAGAGGGCACTTTCTTATGGATTGGATGCTCTGTGCGTGAGGGAGGAGAGGAGGGCCTTGTGCATGGTGGTACCAATTCCTGGGGAGGAGGTTACTGGGGGAGGGAGGGCACAGATTTTATTATTTATTTTTGAGAGAGAGAGAGCGCCAGGGAGGGGCAGAGTGAGAGAGAGAGAGAGAGAGAGAGAGAGAGAGAGAGAGAGAGAGAGATAAGCAGGCTCTGCGCTGTCACTGTCAGGCCGGAGCCGGATGTGGGGCTTGAACCTATCAACTGTGAGATCATGTGCTGAGCTGAAACCCAGAGTGGAGTCGGATGCTTAACCGACTGAGCCCCCCCNGGAGGGCCTTGTGCATGGTGGTACCAATTCCTGGGGAGGAGGTTACTGGGGGAGGGAGGGCACAGATTTTATTATTTATTTTTGAGAGAGAGAGAGAGAGAGCGCCAGGGAGGGGCAGAGAGAGAGAGAGAGAGAGAGAGAGAGAGAGAGAGAGAGAGAGAGAGAATCCTAAGCAGGCTCTGCGCTGTCAGCCCAGAGCCGGATGTGGGGCTTGAACCTATCAACTGTGAGATCATGTGCTGAGCTGAAACCCAGAGTGGAGTCGGATGCTTAACCGACTGAGCCCCCCCGGCTCCCCGGGTGCCTTCTAAAAGAAGGAGAAGCGGGAACTGGGTTTTGGATGAGGTGAGGTGGGGCAGACACGCCTCTGCTCCCCGCCTCCGTCTTGTCCCCCCTCCCTGTGTAACGGCTTCCTGCCCTTCTCTCCACCCGACAGCCAGGAACATGCAGACTCCCGCGACGGTCCCGGTGCCTGTGCCGGTGCTCCGGCTCCCCCGGGGCCCTGATGGCCTGAGCCGAGGCTTCGCCCCGGACGCCCGCGGCGCGCTCCCGAAGCCGCAGGTTCCTCAATCTCCGGGGTCTCCAGTCGCTCCAGAATCTCTCGAGTCCCGGGAACAGCAGGCACGAGCCACCCTTCGGGAACGCTACCTCCGCAGCCTGCTGGCCATGGTGGGTCACCAGGTGAGCTTCACGCTGCACGAGGGTGTGCACGTGACCGCCCGCTTCGGGGCCACCGACCTGGACGTGGCCAACTTCTACGTGTTGCAGCTGCAGACGCCGATAGGCGTGCAGGCCGAGGCGCTGCTGCGGTGTAGCGACATAATTGCGTACACCTTCAAGCCGCAATGACACCACCGGGGTCGCCCTTCTGCTGGAGGCCTGGCCGCAGTATCGCCGCCTTCCCGATGTTCACGAGCCCAGGACCCTGCGCCCCACGGAGTTTGGAACTCCCTTGGATTTTGAGCCGCGCTCCAAGCAACTTTGGCTTCTTGGGACCTCCGGGGTCTGGTCGGTAAAATTCTACAACCACAGACGTTCTAGAGCCCGGTGGAAAGGAATGCTCGACCTCACAGGAATCTAAACTCTAAAATAGGGCCTCATGCCAGTTCCTGAAGACTGGGGGTTGGGGGTGGTTAATAAAGGAAGGCACATTGCAGAGTGGGAAACGGCTTGTTAGAGTTGCAAAGTTCGGCCACCCTGGAGAAAGTCTCCTCCTACTAAAGAACCAATTATCCCAGGAAAACTCCCTCCTGTTTTGTTTTGTTTTCAATGTACCAGATGGGAGTTGGTCCGGAGGTTGTGGGTTATCGTTAAGCTGATTAAATGTGCCAGATCGGGGTGGAACCAGAGTTAGGAAATGGAAGGGGGACTATCCAAGGGCTGATCCTGGTGGTCCTCAAAGAGAGAGGACACATCAAGGAGAGGGACCCAGGGATGAAGGCGGGGATTGGCTTGGCCCTCGCTCTCCGGGGCAGGGAGGGGAGGGGGGCGGGGGAGTGGCCGGAGCTACCGGAAAGGCGGGTTTGGGAGATTCAGACGCGGTTTCTTTCTCGGGTGGGCGGGGGTGTTCACCGCGAGGGGCGTGCCTCGCATTGGGTTTCACAGTCGCCGGGCCCTTGGGCGGTGTGGGCCTCGCTCTAGGGAGGGCGGCTTCGCTTCCCCGCTCACTCCGGAAGGGGTCGGACCCAGTGCGGCGGCCCCGTCGAGGAGAGGCTGAGGACGTGGGGTTGGGGTGAAGCTTCCCCCCCCTTTCTCCATTTCGCTCCAGCCGTGTCGTCGCCCATTATCATTCGCTTTACTTATCCCCGCCACTAGTCGTCTTTCGGGTTTCGCTTTACAAAAGCAACCTCTGCACCCTTTGTAGTCTCATCAACTTGAGAATGTAAGTGAAGATCCCATTAAGCAGAGATGAGGTTTGCTTTGTTCGTCTTCAGTCGCGAAAGTGCGGCGGCCGGTGTGGAATGGGGGCGGGCGGAGGGCCTCGGCTCCCCTACATCCGTCCGTTCACGACACCGCCTCCAGCGAGTCGCGGGCCTAGCTCTCTGGTTGCCTAGGCAACGACGTCGCTCTCTCCTCCCCGAGTTCGCCCCTCCCCTTTTTTTCAGTTTTGGCCCCGCCTTCCCCGCCCCCCCCCCCAAATTGCTGGAAATGCTGGGAAAGCCTGGCGAAAGTGCCGAGATGAATATTAAGCGACTGAAATGAGCCGTGGTGTGTGTTGGGGGAGGGGGGTCGTTAGAGCCCGTGCGGGTTCGCTCGGGGTTTGGTAATCTACCTGCTCCGTCGCCCGGTATTTTGGTTGGCGGATTCGTCTCCTGGTTTTGGAATTTCTTCCCTCTTCCAGGGTTTTTTTTTTGTTTGTTTGTTTTAAATCGAGGCAGTGATACTCCTCATGGGCTCATATTTATTTTAGTCTTTTAGGAATTGTATTCCACGCAACGTTATCCAAACACAGAAAGCTACTGATGAAACCGCAGTCTGCAAATGGGAGGCTAGAGAGTAAGTAGCAAGGAGGCAGAGGCTTCGTCTCGAGGCAGCGGATCCGTCCGTCCGCCTCCATCACCTCTACTCATATATTCAGTACAGCTTCCATCGCTTTTCCTTTCGAGTTCTCTGTCCCTTTGCCTCTGTCTTTATCAGTTGGCCTAGCCCCGCCACGCAGATGTTATTTTTATCAAGTCCCTTCCCCTCTCGGTTGCCCGAGCTCGTGACGAATGTGTGCGAGTCTGGACGTTAGCTATCTGGCTGGAGGAGGGGGGCGGGGTGGGGGGCGGCCCAGGTTCGCGCTTGCGCGCTGCTCCGGGAGACGGCGTCCACCTCGCCCCGCCCCTCGCGCTCTGCAGTTCCGCCTCTGCAGATTCCCTGCTCACGTTTCTTTTTCCCGCGGCTCTTGCTGCCTTTTGTTACCCGCTTCGACAACCTGCGAGACGACTCTTCCTGCAAATAGCTTAAGTTGATTTTCTGCTTTCGTTAGTACGCGCCGGGCTCACCGGCTGCTAACGAAAGTGCGGCTGCGAACGAGCAGGCGCGCGCGGGGCTCGGGGGAGGCGCGCTCGAGCTCCCGGCGGCGACGACTACGACGACCAGGAGAGAGGACGGAGGCGGCGCCTGAAGCGGCGGCGGAGCCCATGCCCCGGGACGGCAGGCGGGCCCGGAGAGACAAGCCCGGGGCCCGGGACATGTCCCCGGGGCCCCCGTGAAGAGGCGGCGGCGGCGATGGAGACCCCGCCGCAGGAGGGGCCGCCCGGGCCGGGCGCGGACGGCGACGCCGAGGAGGCCCCCGCCGAGGCCCGGTCTCCCAGCCCCGCATCGTCCCCCGCCGACGGGCGCCTCAAGGCTGCGGCCAAGCGCGTCACGTTCCCCTCCGACGAGGATATCGTGTCCGGAGCGGTGGAGCCCAAAGACCCCTGGAGACACGGTAGCTACCGCCGGGGCGCGGGGGCGGGCTCGTGGGGGACCGGGAGTCAGTGCGGCGCCCGGCGTAGAGGCCGTGCTCGAGAAGTTGCACCTAATGATGATTTAAGGACACTGTCGTCACTTTAGGGCTGCAAGGTGTTTGGAGACGGGGTGGCTGTTAGGTTGGGAAGGTGAAAAGTAGCTGGTTTATGTCCCCCCCACCCCTCCTCTCCCGCGCCCCTCGCGGACGCGGAAGGTGGTCGTTTTCGAAATTAAAATGATAAGCAGTCAAAGAAAGTTTGGAGGCCAGGGCGATTGGGCGGGCGGTAGTCTTTGAGTTCATAGTCCCACTCCCTCATCCCAGCCCTCACCCCCGAAAGGATAAAGAGAGAAGTCTGGGGAGGAAGAGTGGGTCTGCATTGGCGTTGGAAGGGGGCAGGTGGACGTTTGATGAGACCATCGGGCTGGAGTGAGGTTAGGTTGCTAGTCTGCAAAGCTCGGGTCGAGGGGTAGTCACTTCGCTCACTTTTCTGGCCGTAAGGAGGAAGAAGAATAAATCAGCGTGGACTGTGGCTGTGGAGGCGTTAGTAAAAGCTAGGGTTGGGAGAAGGGAGTCGAGGTAAACAGCCTCCCAGAAAAGGAGCAGAGTTGGTGGTCACTTTGGGGGTGGACGAGATAGTCGGAGGAGGTGTTCGATCTTGGCATTAAGAAGAAATAAAGTCACCGCGTCCCTCTTTTTCTTTCCCCCAAAAGGGAAGCGAAACATTATCAGCTGTTAAGGAGCAGAGGAGTTTGGGGGCCTGGCTCTAGAAGGATCTCCTTTAATGCCTCTCCCCCCCCCCCAAAGAGTTAGGGAATTGGAGTTGCTGGTCGGCAGAAAGCGGGGGAGCCTGAAGAAGTTTGCTGCCTTGAGATGTTGGGAGAGGGAGCAAATCTGCAGATTCTAGGTCCCTTGGAGGTCAGGTTAGTGTTGGAACTGAAAGGGCAGCTGTGTGTGTTTTACCTAAAGCTGGAAAGTCAGATGAATGGCAGTGTTGAGTCTGTCTGCTGGGGACGTCTGTCAGGAGCCCATCAAGAGAGGGGTCAGCCTGGTCCCGGCTCAACAGAAGTTGGTCCCTTGGTCCCCGGAAAGAGGAGGCAGTGTTGCTAGTCTGTGCAGTGGAGGAATTGAGGCCTTTATGTGAGACTGGGAAACGTGGTAGTTGGGAACTTAGCCTGTACGGAGCCTGCCTTAAACGCCAGTTTGGCCAGTTCTTGTTAAAGGGACAATTTAAGATGGTCTGCGTTGAGAGCCAGCCAAGTCTAGGCTCTAGGCCCCAGGGATAGGTGTCACTTTTTGGGTTGGAGAACTTGGCCTCGGGCTGGTGGTGGGAGCCCGGGGTTGGGGGGGGGGAGTCAGTTGGCCCTGGCTTATAGCATGGTACCCAGTCCGGGGAGATGAGAGCAGGAGGGGGAGAAAGACCCAGATGGGCAGAGCAGGGTGGTGACGAGCAGACGTTCTGCTTCACAAGCTTCCAGGAGGGGGGCGGAGATGGCGGGAGGTGTGTGGGCCCCGGGGCAAGGAGAAGGGAGGATGGGCAGTTTGGGGGCCGCAGGGTCGTGGTGGGGGCAGTGGGAGAGTTGGCGTGGGTAGGGGTGGAGGAGGTGGTTCTGGTGTGCAGGTTCCCAGAAGGGGAACAGCTGTGTGGAACCGGCTGTTGGATAAGCTGTTTTTCCTCTCTGAGCCTCCTGTTCTTCGCTCTGCAAATGGAGGTGCTAATTTCTACCGCGGGCTAGTCGTGAGGATTAAGTAAAATAGTCCTTGTAAATTCTCGTAGCAGCTGCTGTTCCCCAGGCAGTGAGGCAGTTTGAGGGCAGGGAGGAGTGTCAGGAAAGCGGGGTCCGTTGGAGCCTGGCTGGCAGGAGTCTGAGGGGATGGTGGCCGAGCAGTGTTCCCCGGGGTTAGGCGGAGGTGGCGGCGGCTTACAGGCTGGCGGAGTCCCTCATTTCTGGCAGTGTGAAGAGGGACGCGGGGACTGGCCAGGACTCCCCAGTCCAGAGGAGTCAGTGGGTCTGAGGGGGAGAGAGGCGGTGACACGGAGAAGTTGTGAAATCAGTGCGCGGGCTGGAAGAGCACGTCTGTCCCGGCTGGGGAGAGGGGGTGGGGGCTTGGCCCGGCAGACACAGGGTCGGCTGATCTTGATCCCTAAGCGGGGGAGGGGTCACGGGTGCAGTTAGATGGTGGGATTTGCAGGACGGGAAGTTGGAAGGCCTGTCCGTGCTGAGAAACAGGTGGCTAGCTTCTGTGCCCGGGTAGAGCAGCGGGTCGCTGCCTGGGCCGCGCCCAGGGCCGGTGGGGTCTCACCAGGCTGTAGAAGAGGGAACTCAGCACAGAAGGCTGGGCCAAGCGAGTTACCTAGTTGGGAGGCTACAGGGTCTTGGCTGGGGGGCTGCAGGGAGAACTTGGTCCTAGAGGAAGGAGCGACATTTGTTGGACTTGATCTGTAAGCCGCGGGAAAGCACAGGGGGTGTCCCTTGAGGTGCGGGGACCTGCCGGGAAGGGTGACAGGTGATGGAATTCCGGGGCCTGCTGTGGTGCCGTGACCCTGAGGTCAAGGGTCAGGGGGAGTTGGCAGGTCCGATTTGGGAGAGAATTCGGAAGCTGTTCTTTCATTGTAGAGGTGGAAAAGCTGCCTTGGTGCCCCGGAACTAGGGAATCGGGGGCCCCAGCACAGGTTGACCATTTGGGGGAGAGCCGGGCCAGGCCCTGACTGAGCCTCCAGCTGGGGTGCAGGAGGGCCAAGCCCTGAGTAGAGTGGTGGCCAAGCCAGGTGGGAGCGGGGGGTATCTTCCTGAGGACGAGCGTC